AAAAAAAAAAAAAAAAAAATAAGAACGAAAGAAGAAAAAGAAGAAGAAGCTGACAGAAAAATTTCAAATGTCTCGTAGAAAATGCCTTTCTTTTTCTCTCCCTTTTTTTTCTTTTTTTTCTCATTCACTTCGACGTTAGGAATACTCCTAGAAATGGGACCACCCCCTTTTCCCACCCTTCTTCTGTTAGAGATAGTAAAAGAAGGAAATCTTTTTAAGGTAACAATTTTGAACTACCAACTACTTGGATTTCCCCATCTACTTACGACTAAATGAAACTTATACAGATGGAAATGTTCGGAAAAGGTAAAAGTTCTTTAGAAGGTTTGAGAAAAGAGTGGTGGGGGATGGAAAAGGGGGAAAGGGGAGTGAAACTCACGTCAACGTGTTACAAGATTTTATAGTAAACCTCAAAAACCGGATTTACCGAGAGCGTGATAGCGATAGTAACCGTTTTCAAACGTTAAAGTTTTCCCGTTTTACTAGTAAGCGGAAGATAAACACCGAACTTGAAAAAAAAAAAGATAGAGAGAGAGAGAGAGAGAGAGAAAGGGTGGTATCTTTTTCTGGGTAAGGTAAATCCTTACACGATCGAAGGTAATCTTTTTCTCTTAAACTAAGTAGAATAATCTTACATCGATGATACTACAGATAACTCTTCTATAACACGTTAAATAAATTTCCTAAAAAAAGCTCATGATTTAGTATAAACCGTGTTATATGAAACCCCATAGGTTCACATTAATATTTTATTAGTTTTTATTATGTATTATTATTATTATTACTAGCTATGCACCGCCACGCATTACTGTGACGTTGTTATACAGATAAAATTTAGGTTCAAATGTTTCACACACTCACTCAGATTATATTTAGAATTTAATTATATCATTTTTTTTTAAATTAATTAATTATTTTATAAATAAATTAATGTATGATAATGTAATGTATGATATAAAATAATGTTTTTATTTAATTAGAAACAAAAAAAGACAATCATTGCAAAACTACTTCCATTTGGTTAGTATGAATATCATTATACAGGTAATGTAATTTTGTTTTTCTTGCATTTTCGTATTATGGCAAATAATGGGTTAAATATTGAAAAAACAAAATCATGTGTTATCCAATAATGTAAAAGTAGAAAGTATTGCACAAAAGTTTTCGCAATGTATGAATCGTGTTACACAGAAACCGTATTATAGGATTTCGTGTTATAAAAGAGTTACCTACATTCGTAAATAAATTATTAACGTGAATAAATTATAACATTTGATATCATAAACGATGAGTTTTTTTGTTGTTGTAGGTCTGATTAAACCTGAGAAAAGTTTCATTCGTAGAATATATTCGTATGTTCTTATCAAACGACGAAAGTAGAAAATAAAAGAATAAAAAGAACAGAAAAGAAAAGAATAAGAAGAAACTCGTGAAATTTTTCATCGTAACAGCCGTTAAAACGAAACGACTTTACCGTTAAAGGAACAAGAAGTTATGAGACATGAGAGAGTAGTACTCACGAAAGCTGATGTTAGAGGGTTTTACGATTTTCGGGCAAACCCTGAAGAGGCCGAGCTTGAATCGTACGCTGACAAGGTTTGTTGAACTACTAGGTAAATACGGTATGTATAATTTTTCTTCCGTGTGAAGCCATGCTGGACCCAACAATGCAGTACTCAATGCTGCCAATGCTGCAATCCCACAAACCACACCGCATCTCGTCAATCTCGTACCACCAGGACCACCCGGACAACACATTCTGCCTTCTTCTTCTTCTTCTCTTCAATGATGAAAAACACAATTGACTCTATTTTACTTTATCCGTATAATGAAATCATTTTTGTTTTTGGTTTTTCCTTTTTAATAGGAGATCACCTCGTTAATGAGATAACTTCTTGACTATCTTTCACGATAGGTAATGTCATTTGATTGATTTCAACTTCTCGTAGATTCATTCTTTCTTCTTTTGTTTTTTTTTCTTTTATATGAAAATCAATTGTTCAGCGTTTTACATTCACTCAAGTTTTACGTACACTCATAGTTTAATAATTTCATTTCATATCGTTGAATTATCTTCTTAAACGATTCCAAACGTCTCGATGAAATTCTGAAATGATTTTTTCCAGACAAAAAAATTATACAAATATATAAGAAAAATAAAATAAAACAAAATTGTTTTAAATAAAAAATTAAATCAAATCTAATATTTATCAATGATTATTAGATAACAGATATTAATTCATCTATCATATTCTCGATCATTACACGCCAAAGAAGAACTTGTTTACGAGAATTCGAACGAACGAACGAACGGTGGTAATCGAGACGACCGTTAACGCGATAACGAACGTCCCCCTTTACCCTCACCTCCACCCACAAACCCCTTTCCTCCCCTTGCTTCAGCCGGTGCACTTTTAATTGTGTGTCTTGGATTTCCGTCGTTCATGAATATTCCGTGCACGAAATAAAGGACATTTATTCGCGAATATCCGTTCGATATTACTGCATAATTGGAAGTTATAATATAAATTTCGCGGTTTTAAGTTAGGAGAAAAAGATATTAATCGTGAGTAATAATAAGGATAACGATTACATATTAATATATATAGATAGATAGATAAATAGATTGATCAAGGAAGACAGGATGAATCATTTTAATAGGGCCCATACTTTTCTTATTTCAAAAATATAAAATCATGAGTAACATAGATAAAAATTAGATATGTAAATAAATAGATAAATAGTTCAAGAAGAAAGGATAGATAATTGTAACATAAGCTATACTTTAAAAATATAAAATCCTACATAACAAGGAGAATGATTAAATATGTATATAGATAAATAAATAAATAAAAAAAGTAAATAACAAAACTCATACTTTTCTTATTTTAAAAATATAAAATCATTGATAACAAGGATTACGATTAGATGCGTATCATATATAAATAAATAAATTAAATTAAATGAAATAAAAACTAAATAAAAATAATAAATATAAAAAAAATAAAAAAGAATAAATCATTTTAACATAACCTATACTTCAAATGTTTCGCGCACACACCGAAATCTATGGCTAACAGATAGCATTGGATATATCTGTATCTTTTTCTTTAATTTCTAATTTAATTAATTATTTTATAAACAAATTAATATAATAAAAACCTAGCTGTATACAAATACTACGTTGTGTCCAAATTTTAAGACAATTGGTAAAGTACTTTTAGAAGATTACCGATTAGGAACAAACGAAAAATCTACATTTATATATATATAGATATACATTTGCTACCTTTAAAAATCTTCCCCTCCCATTTCTCACAGTTTCCGAAAAAAAAACCCAGGCAGTCTTATCCAATACCTCTCGTTATTTTGAAAACGATACCGTAATTCAACGGATCATCATAGGGTAATTTCTATGCGAATACGTACATATGGTCGGCAGTTTCGAGCCTGTGGCGATTTGTCGGTCGAATAGCGATAACGCCCTCTCCCTCCCCCTCTCAGTCCTCGTTCGATGAAAGCGAATAATCCCGGGCTACGATAAGCGAGTTATCGAGACTCCATCGAGTTTGACTTTATCGATTCTCCCACTCTCACACTCTCACACTCTCTATATCTGTCTATCTATCTATCTATCTATCTATCTCTTCACTAGGGAATCAAACGATCGGTATTCTCTCGATCCGGTTCTCTTTCTCTCTCTCACACTCTCTTTCTCTCTCAACCGCATACCACACGGCTTAATGCACGATCCGACTTTTCTTCGATTTTCGATCGTCCGGATCGCGAAACTACGACCTACGGAGAAAATCCTATTTTGGTTAACCCCCCACTACCTCCCCTCTCTCCCGACCTTCCCCCATCTATCACTATAAAAGATTTAACGCCTTTAAAACTTATACGAAAATCGAGATGACCCGCTAAAACTCTCTCGATCACTTTTATTCCTTTCATTCTTATACGTTTTAGTTACATCTCTAGTTGCCATTATTTCTCATTCTCTTTCTCTCTCTTACTTTCTGTCCTATTTTACCATTAGAATTATTTTCATTTCATGGAATTTTCAAGAGATTCCCCTTTTTTTTTATTCTTTTCAACGATAACGAGAATTGCTGATTTATTCATTATATTGCTCGAAAATCGTTGATAATTATTTAAATTGGACGCAAACCCATTCAGATAATTCGTTGTTTGAAAATAAGAAAAAAAATATATTTTTGATAAAAAATCATTGACTATTTTTAGACATCTGGTACATATATATATATATATATATATATATATATATATATATATATATATATATATATATATACCTGTTCGTCCGTCTTTCTTCTTTTTATTTTCTTATCAATAACTTCGTGATCAAACGTTTTAGATTGAAATCTAGTCTTTCGCAACCCTGACTTGTTCATGACCACGATAAAAGCGAAAAATGTTTTCTTAGAGACTAATTTGAAATTCCTATCGCGAAATTTGCCTTTTCTTTTTTTGATAGAATCGACACATTCTAGAATAAAATCACGAATTCTTCTCACTAATTCGAGATACTTCGTAAGGAAAAAAAGAAAATTTTTCTTTTCTTTTTCGATCGTCTTGTAAACGTTGCTTCTCGAATTTAAAAGAAAAAAAAACGAATCTTTAAAGAAATAATTGTAAATCGAAAATTAACTTTCCCCGATTTATTTAAACTTTCTATTCTTTTCTTATTTTTTAAATTTCTGATCGATTTTTATTTTGTTTTTTCTTTTTCTTTCTTTTTTTTTTTTTTTTTAATTAAAACTCTTGTTGAGTAACTAGGAAAAGCGATCCGTTTGCACTGCACGAATCCGAACATCAAAACGATGAATTCCCGTTAAATCGTTGAGGATCCTTGTTAACGCATCAACAAACATCTGTCTAATACATATTCATATTTCTGTTAAATAACACAAACTATTTATACGTGCGTGTATGTACATATTATATCAATCGATCCAATTTCAAGAATGTTCCCATATTATATCATTCAATCAATTTTTTTTTTTTTTAATTATACTACTTTGTTTTCTTTCCATTTCATGTAATAATAAGTATAATAAAACCGATCAAAAATAAAATTAAAAAAGAAAACAGAAAATAAAACAACAATAATAATAACAATAATAACAATAATAATAATAATCAACGATTTTCGAGCAATAAATAATACTATTGCCATTGTATTAAATAATTAATTTCAAATTTTAGTTATGTGATTAATTAAAGAAATATTTCGTACAATCCCTGACACACATAGATAGAAAAAAATAAAAAGAAGAAAAAAAAATGGAGAAAAATCTAAAGAATATAAAGGTACAGGTGAAGTATAGGAGTAGCGTGAAAAAAAACAAAAGGTAGTTCTCTGATAGCCCGTTTGTTTACCGGCTTGTGGATCGTCACCAAGCCATTTTTATTGGCAGCCAGTCAGGGTGTCGGACAAACGTCGGAATGGTGTTCGACGTGGAATTCGTTGACTGCGTGGAACCGTACTACGAAAGAACAGAATGGAACTAGTATGTTCGTCCTTGTATGAGAAAAAAAAACGTAAAGAGAACGAGTTGGAAGCAACCAGGATTCGTGCTTCCTTTTTTTTCTTTTTTTAAATGGTCAACTACATGACGGATCGTCCTGTGACAGAATGATTTCGTGAATGAAGCTTATATGTTCTAAAAATCCTACTTTTACGATTAGAGTTAAAGAAAATTCTATAATTTTAGAATTACACGTGTGTTTGTATATGAGTGTACACTGTGCTGGTATAGATGAGACCAGATGAGCTAAATAAGCCTCGAATTTTACATATTATAATATAAATATAACAACATTTATATTATTAAATAATTATAATGAATAATAATATTTTATATATTATTATAATTATTTTATATTTATTTTATATTTTATATATTATTATAATTTTATATATTATAATATTATAACAAAATAAAAATTTGTATTATAATTAATATTATTATATTAAAATTAAATTCCAATAATAATTACCTAAAAATAATTTATGATAAAAAAGTAAAAAAAGAAATAAAAAGAAATCCTATTATTTATATGATACGATGGTTTATTCCTTCGATTGTTCATATCTCACGTTTTCGATGGTTTCATTTGACGATAGTTACTTTATTCTTTTTTTTTATTTTACAAAAAAAAACAAAATCACGATCAATCAAAATACGCCCTTCGTGCGTAACTTATAAATAAGATTTTTTTGCTTTTTTTTTTTTCATCCACAAGGTTTGCAATTTGTTCTACTCGATATGCTGGATATAGTAACACAGCCAGAGAATTTTCTTTCTATCGATGTCTGGTGAAAAGCGATCGACATTGGTTCTACAACATGAGATATATATATATAAGTTAAATTCCCAAACCGACACACCAGCAAAACGTGAGGAATCCACTAGACGAGGATATTCTGAACCAACCAACTTCCACTCTTCATTTTTCTCTCTTTCTTTCTTTATTTCTCTTCATTCTATTTCTTTTTTAATTTTTTTATTTTTGTTTTATTTTTCCTATAACACGCATCCCCAATAAATGATTATAAATTATACTTTATATATAGAATACTAACAGTGTGACAGGAAGATAACTCGTTTTCGTCTCGTTATCATTCCTAACGTGTACGCTCGTTCACGACACGCATTTCAAACCATTATAATGGTATTCCATATTTTGCAAAATATCAACACCGAATAACAGACTATCAATTTGTTAACAGTCAAATTAATTCCTTTTTTTATTTAAAAAGAAAATAATTATATGGACATAATAATTTAGTAAAATTGTCAATAATTTATGATATTATCTAATACAAATAATTAGAAATATACAGGGTGGTTTACAATATCCGAAAATAAGTATTAAAATATAACATTGCATTTAAAAAAACAAAGTTGACCAATAAATCTCAAAAATAACTCAATCTAGCAAAAAAATATTAATTTCAAATTGTAGTCTTGAATTTTTCATACAACTTTTTTTTATCCACTTTTCTGTTGCAATTATACTTTCGGTGCTATTTAAGTGGAAAGAACTGTTGAATCACCCTGTATACAGGATAGGAATTTA